CGCCAGCAGGCAGCCAACAATATTGTGAGAAAAGGTGATAACAAGCCAGTGGTCCGAACTGGGGGTCTTGGGGCAGGATTCCTACGTGTGCAATCAAGTGACAAGGGTAAAAATGGGAGAGCGGCCAGCATACAGGAGAGGAAGGGGACACGGATTTACAGCTCAGAAAGAGGGGGATAGACTTCGCAAGAGGGAAACGATCATAGATAAGTTTAACAGGATTTTCACTGGAGAAAGGACATGAAGAATTTCATTTTTGTTCAGCCAGTAATATCAATGCTTTACATTTATAGTCTTCCCTCTGCAGGGGAATGCTGTGTTATCTCCGGCTAAAATGTGTGGTAACAACGCTTTCTGACAGTGAAGAGGACAGTGATATACTACTTACTGTCTTATATGTCTAAGTTTCTCAGTGGTGACTCAAATTTTGTTAGCGCCATTGTATCCCGAAGGTAGTTTTTCTTGGTTTGTACCACCTGCTGTCCTGCCTTTTGAGAGGCACGCGGAAATGTTCTTGTCCGCCCTGCGATAAATCTAGGTGGTTGCATACCTTTCCAAATTAAGTGCACTGTCATGACTTTATGCCATATTACTTAGGTGTACCCTTGGTAGAGAGACTTCACCTGATTATAACCCGTACTGAAGAATCGTGTATGCGGCTTTGTACATATTATTCACTGATCAATATCTAAAAATAGGTTGGCATCAGACACTTTCACTATTCTGCTGTTCTGCGTCAAATATTCTAAAACTTGGATGACCATCTTAAAGTTGTTGCGTCAAGTATTCGAACGACGCCCATTTTCTGTTACAAGAACGCATAAAAGTAATTTTTACCCACCAGACATGTTAGTGGACTGAAATTAAAATTTATCATTTAGTCTCTGGACTGAATATCTGTCGGCAGTGACTCCTTACAAACATGGTCTTCGCCGTCATCGCTTTTGCGTGAGAAAGTGGTAGGGTGCGTGATTTTTTCTCCAAGAAACTTTGTCGACATCAGACAGATGTGG